GGTTCCGGTTCCAAAAATTCAAGAACCGCTCTAACCGGTTCCGGTTCCAATATCTCAAGAACCGTTGGTTCCGGTTCCTGTCAAAAAGGACGGGTACCCGCCTATGCTCACCCTTAGTCAAAATCATTGTCAGCCATTTTTCAATAATCAAGTGAGAGATAATATTACATCCAAGATAGAGATAGAGGTATATATACATACATATTGCAGTCTTCCAAATTTATGATTGATTTAAGTTTTCATATATAATAAAATATGCTTGGGAATTTTGTATTTTGTTTCAAGATTAGGTTTTAATTTTTTGAAAGAAAAAGGGAGTAATAAAAAAGGGGTTAAGATTTTGTATGGATGAAATCAAAATCGTAATTGGAAATTATTGTGTTTTTTTTTATGTTTATCCAAAATTATTTTCTATAAATTCATTTTTTTTAATTTAAAAAGCCGTATCTTTATACATAATTACACTTGGTCCCTAGTTTCGTGGCTTATACTTTATTCTTCTTCTATAAAATTTCTTTGATTTTTAAACGAATAATTAAAGATTTATATATTATTTTAGGATCATAATCTTTAATTTGTTATAAATTATCACCTTCCATTTTTGTATATATCACTAAAAAGAGAATATGGACTTGAATGAAATATATTTATTGATTGAGACCATATATATATATATATTTTTTTATTTATTGATTTATATAATATTTGACAACTCCATCTCTCTAAATCAATATCATTCATCTCTTCCATTTTTTCTCTAGCTTTCTATAATATAGGATTAATATCATATCATATATATATAGAATTGATGAATATACTTTTCATTAATTCGTAATGAAAAAAATAGAGGTGAAAGTATCGAGCACGTTCGAATTAGAGAAATCAGTATGCAATCACGGCTTCTTTATGATGGCTCCTAACCGCTGGATACCTTCCACCAAAACGCTGACGAGACCACTGCGACTACTACCTCATCATCATCATCATTCTTCCAACGTTACCATCTCCATTTCCCAACCTTGTTCTACTTCCCTCTCCATAACCCTCCTTGACGATCGAATTATTTCCCCTTCCCAGCAGCAAGAAATCATGGTATATATATATATATATATATATATATATATGATTAATTTGTTTCTTTATTAAATTATAAAATACTTAATAGAGTATGCATGCAGGATCAAGTGAAGAGGATGTTGAGGCTGTCCAAGGAAGACGAGAAGCAAGTGAAAGAGTTCCATAGATTACACGAAGAAGCAGCCAAACGAGGGTTTGGTCGTCTTTTTCGTAACCCGTCATTGTTCGAAGATGTTGTCAAGTCATTGCTTCTCTGTGGCTGCAGGTGTGTGTATATATATATATATATATATATATATATATATATATTGATTAAATTGTGTGTTGGTTAATTTAATAAAGCATTCATTTACGCTATGGTAATGTATAGATTCCAAAGAAGCTTAGAGATGGCTAAAGGACTTTGTAAACTCCAGAAATGGCTAGGAAAAAAATGCAAGTGGGGAAATTTCCCAAGCGCACAAGAGTTGGCGAATCTTGAATCGGAGGAGTTATTGCGCAACAAATGCAAGTTGGGATACAGAGCTGGTCTTGTTATGTGTTTAGCCAAGGCTGTTGCGGATGGAGAAATCAAGCTGCTCGATTATGAACTTGATAATATGCAGCTTGGAGATGAAGAGTCAATGTTCCAAAAGTTGAAGACGATCAAGGGGTTTGGTGATTTCGTTACTTGTAATGTGTTGATGTGCATGGGTTTCTACGACCGCATTCCAATCGACTCCGAAACCATCAGGCATATCAAGCAGGTGGTATACTTTTTTTAATCCATATTATATTCATTGCTAATTAATATATAAAATTGAAATCTATCAAATACTAATACTAAATATTATATACACAAACAAACATATGCATCAGATCCACCAAAGAAAAGAGTGTCAGAGGAAAAATATCAAGGCAATGGTTAAGGAGATATATGACAAGTATGCCCCTTTTCAGACCCTCGCTTACTGGTACGTACCACCTCCCTAGCTTAGCTTAATTTCTCCATTGTTAATTAATATTCTCTCTCTCTCTCTCTTTATATATATATATATATATATATATATATATATATATATATATATATATTTGACATCTGTTTGATTAATTATAGGTTGGAGCTGGTGGAGTATTATGAGAATAATCTGGGGAAGCTAAGCTTGTTGGAGAGATGTCATTATAAAAACGTTACAGGAAGCATAATTACCGGTACTGGTAATAGTTACTAATAGGATTTTAATCCCATTAATTAATTGGATAATATATTGTTGGTTTTGTGACTGATTTTTTTATTTGGTTGGTAGAAGCTATATGTTTTGTCTAAATGGATGCATATATAGTACCTTTATCGAATTTCATCCAAGATTGTTTTTCATTTGTTTGACCACCAAATATCAATGAATGATATCTCTCTTGACCCTTTTCGTTTTTGTCCTTCTCGAATAGGTGTTAAACCAAACGAGTTAAAGAGTTCAAGTTAGGGTCTAGATAAAAAAAAATTAATTTTATGAGTTTAAATAAACATTAAACAAAATTCTAGTTGTCATAATTAATTATAAGTTTGGAAATATTAGGGATTATGTATTAATAAGCAATAGGTTAATGTTTCATATAATAAGTTGTTTTCAAATATTTTTCTTAAATACTTTTTTTAATGAAATAGCAATCCATAAAAAAACACCTTTTTCCTTCTTCTTGTTGCTGCATATCTCGTTTGTAAGGAATTTCGCTACCTTAGGACCGTTATAGTTTCTAGCCGGAATTTTATTAAAAATGGGAGCGTATGGATATATAAATTTTAAGTAATTGTTAACGAAATTCATCCATTGAAAATAAAATTAACATAAGCTTTTGAATTTAATTGAAACTTTTTCGGAATAAGGAAACAAATTCTCCAAATTTAAATTTACCATAAAAGTAATATTGAATTTGAAGACTCCATAACAATATATATTAATATTAATATTAAATTAAGTATTAAAAGTTTTTGTTTTTTATAATTATTTTTATAACTTATTATTATTATAATTTAATTTAAATTTAATAACAAAGTAATTTATTTTAGATTTAATAATATAATATTTTTTATAAACATAACTTCAAGTTTGATTTTTTTTTTTTTATAATTTAATTTAGGTTTAATAATAAAATTAATTTATTCCAGGTTTAATGATATAATTATTTATAAAGATAATAATTAAGTATTAACTCAATGATTATTCTAGTCATATTTTATATTATTTATATTTAAAATGAGATATTTATTCTGTATTTGATTATTTGTATCAGTTAGTTATATGAATTCAAACTTATAAGATATTATTTACTTGTAAGTAATATGCATGGTTTTTAACCTAAACAATTTATAATATATATTACAGATTGCCTTTTATTTCTTTCCCCTTAATGATCGAATATTATCCAAAATTCTTTTTTTATTTGATGAGTAAATATCAACGTCACCACTCTTGACCTTTTTCATTTCTTTTATTTCAAAATATAATTACGAGTGTAGAAATTAAATCAGGGTGAAAACAAGTAATTTTAAAATTAACATTTTGTGATCATTTTTTTAATAATTAAAAATAATTAGAATGCTGAGATAATATTTAGAGGTTGTAAACATTTAGATAGATTTTTAATTAAATCATTTTATATGAACCAAGTTCTTGGGACCAATTCAGCAGGTATCAAAATCAAAAGAGAAAAGTCTAAAAAAACCCAATGGACTTTAGTGTTTAGAATGATTAAGTCATTGGACAATTTTTTATAACAAAAAAGTACTTGAACATTCCAAAACATGTTAAATAACTTCTTGGACAATTTAAAACATGTTAAATAACTCATTGGACAATTTTTTGAATAAATAAGTCCTTGGACAATTCAAAACATGTTACATAACTCCTTGGACTTTTCTAAAACCTGTTGGATACATTCTTATGACTTGTACAACTAGTTAAAGTGGTAAAATGGTGAACAAAAGTCCGAAAAAAACCCCAGTCAATATTTATATTTTGAACGATTAAGTCTCTAAATGTTTTTTGAACCAAAAATTATTTAGATCTATAAAATTAAACAAATATAACAAAAAAATATTTACATTTACAAAAAATAGTTGCATTTAAAAAAGATTTTTAATAAAATTTATTTTAATTAAAATTAAAAT